CTGGGTCTTAGGATCCAAATAATGGCTGTGGAGTCATTAATTTGATGGGTATTTTGGGGGGTGCTGGTTAGGCTACATTTTGTGCATAGGTCCATGTAGGTGCTAATGACCAAAACTTGGGTTTGGGCTAGGATGGCCATGTCCTTGAGCCCAATTGATTGATTCAATTGATGTAGATGATTGTAATGAACATTTTTTTGATGAAGGATTGAAAGGATTTTGAGTCATTGACTGGTCCTATAGTATCAAATTTGAGATTTTCTTTCAAGGAAAACTTAGTCATTTTGGGCATGTTGGGCTAAACTTGGGTCTAGATTAGGCTAGCCTTGAGCTAAGTCTAAATTGATTGCTAAGAATGGTTAATAGGAATTCCATGAAGATTTTTTAACATGAATTGGGTGCCAATTTTGGGATTAAAACAATCAATTTGGTGAAATTGGGGCATAGCCAATTTGGGGAAAAATTTGGGGCTTTTGGACTTAGGTTGAAATTAAATGAAATTGAGACTTCACCAAGGCCAATTAATGGTCAATTTTGATGTGTAGGAATGTGATAAAGAGTTTTCAACATAAAACATTGCCAATTGAGGGGGCTATGGATTCAGGCTATGGATTCAACTTCATGTGCCCAAAATTGGTGGTTTGACCTAATTCAAAAATTGGGTCCAAAGAATGGGCCGATTGGGCTTGAATTTGGTTTATTTTGGTCACATTGAAGGTGAATTTGAGTTTAATATTGAAATTTGGGGAGATTGAGATCAAATTGATGGAAATTTGAAGTGGATTTAGGGAGATTTGGGCCTTTAAAGGCAATTTGGGGGTTTTGATCAAAGATGATCAAATTGGCCTAATTGGGTCATGTGGTAGTTGAGAAAAATAAAATTGGGAATATTTGGAATATTTTAAGAATTTTGACCAAATTTAGGGTTTCAAGGGTACTTAGGTAATTTGGGGGAGTATAGGGACAAAAGACCAGACTGAGTATTTTGTTTAAAATTGGGGAACTAACCACCAAAAGTAAGCCATGGACCAATGAAAACCCTAATTGGGTCCTCTATGTACTGGTCTTAGCTAAGCCCCAGTCTACGGCTACTAGGATTAGGGGACCATCTACATGAGTATCTCAAAAGTATCAAGGGATCAAACTTAAGAAATTTTGGGTTTGGGGTAGTGAGTGGGGTTTATGATAGTGAGTGAAGTGAGTGCCTTAGCTCTATACCAACACCCAAGGTCAAACCTAAGGTCAAATAGCCCTATAGGAACTCTCCTTGAGCTCCCCCATAACCTACTAAGTGCTAGAGGTTAGGACCAATATGTGGAACTTCATGTTGAGTAAAAAAGAGTTTAAAATTTCTAATGGTGAGGGTGCCTTTTCTAGTTCTCGAAGAATAGTCAATAGGAAAGTCCTATGCCTAGACCTTAGGCTACTGAAGTGAAAGACTAGACCTCAACCAAAAATGAGGTCAACATCCATCCAACAGCTTCCTTAAAATTTTTTAGAATTTTCATCAATATTTGTTTGAGATCAATAAAACTAATACAAACTTTCAAGTCAATAGACCTATAAGTTATGTGTAGAGTTGTGTTTGCTATTTGTTTCTGATGGGGAATATAGAAAGTGAATATTTGATCAAAGTCAAGAAGTAGAAACTCTCGCTAGGGATTGAAGAGTGGATTTTGATTTATTGGATTTCAGGAATTTATGGAAGACGGGAATCAATGTGTAAGTGCTGACCCCCGGGGATTTGAAATTCAGGTATGAATTTTAGAAGAGAGTCGGAAGTTTGGGACTGACCCTGAAAGGGTACATCAGAAGGTAATGACTGATTCAAAATGAGAATTGCCAGGTAAGGGTAAATCTCAAAAGAGAGCTTCAGAAGGTAAGGACCGACCTCGA